GAAGGGGGAAGAGAGAGATGGAAAATGGGAGATGGAAGAAGACTTTGTGTTGTCCTGTGTTTTTCAGGATACAGATCGATCGAGTAAAAAAGCGAGGGAGTTAAAAAGGTGTTTTTTTGGGTGTGTTTTGGTGGAAAGAAAAAAAGGAAGTATATAGGGAGTAAGGAAAGAGAGTAAGGAAAGGGTAAGAAAAAGAGTTAAGGGTAAGGAAGGGTAAGAGTAATAACAGAACAGGCAGAGAGAGTCGGGGTGTTTTGGTGAGGAAATCGTCAGGTTTTTATTTCGGGATTTCCGGTTTTTTTCCAAGCAGTCCAGAAACAGCCCCAGCGATAGCCCGGTGATAGCCCAGTGATAGCCCAAGTGCTAGGCCCAAGAAACAGTTCAGCTCACGTTTTGGTCTGCCTTGTTCTAGGCGTATCTTTTGTCATTACACAGTATTTGTCAGTCCAGCCCTTGGGTGAGCCGATACGGGATTAGGCGGGTTCTGGCTGAGTTCTGGCTGGGTTTAGCTGGGTTTTGGGTTTCCGTACCCCGCCGTAACTCATCACTTACATACTGTATACATACCATACCGCGCATGCATACGGTAAGGAGCGAATAAAAACGGGGTGATACATATACCAGAACAGCAGTAATTAATAATAATATTTAGTTCGCTAAACTAACTCTTTAAAGTAACTCTATATAAGGGTAATTATTAACCATACAGGATAGATGGCATTCTCTGCTGCAGGGCATCCGCTATGGATATCTCTTGATAGGGAGATGTTCGCAGATTGAACTCAGGGAACTACTCCTACTATTATTACTAGTTGACAAATTCTCACGGCCCAAATCGGAATAACTAAAACTACACGGATGAACTCTCGCATGACTAACACATGACTGCAGAGCTGTCAGAGTCCGAGTCTTTGACACAAAACACTCGTCACAACTTTCTAAATGCAGAGAACCTTCAGAGAGAGAGTCCATCAGCTAGCTGATTACAAATCCTATTGTTTGAGGCCCCAGTCAGGTTTCTCATCTATGTCATATATATATATATATAACTATATATATGTAGGTTTCATAGGTCAAGCTGAAGGGGCAATTAATTACCCATCCCGCGTCCCGGTATGAACATGCCGCAATTTAACCAATATTTTGCATGACTACCTGTTAGCATCCGTTCAACTTCTTCGTAAGACCATACCTGCAAGTATGCAAGGAACTCATCTTCACCGTGGTAAATCGAGTTACTCAAAAGGCCGGCAAGCTGGGGGATGTAAGTATGCGAGCGGGTGTACAGAGCAGTAGTACACTTCACTTATTAACCCAACACCCGTGGATCGTGTTGATGATGTCTTGTTCCACCCCCCGGGAGAGAAACAATTCCCGATATCATGTGACCGCGATGAGGTTGCGGACCCCGTTTCCCAAGTCGTGGAATTTTCAACCTCAACCAACCCTTTAACCCACAGCCAGCTTGGAGAATTTATGTGCCTTGATATCTATGGTATCCTAATCCATCATACACTCCTTCCCAAGCTTCCAGCTTTGATAGATGTATTGATAATTGACAAATCTCAAGCAAGATGATGAACTTGGGATCAATCGATTGTTCTGCGTCCTTGGGGAAAGCTTATGGCTCGGTGCAGGCAACCTAGAGCCTGGCCTGGAGCGGGTAGTTGGACCTCTATAACCTTCGGAAAAGGATCAATCCTGTTGATGTTCGAGAGCCTTGCGGGTTTTAATTGGGTGTAAATCGTGTGACTGGTTATTTCACGGAGACACCGTCGCACTCCTTTTAATCATGACTGTTGGAAATACACGTTCGGGTGATCGCGTCGTTCGCCCTCCCGATAAGCACTTTGCTGCAACTCTTCGGAAATCTTTTTTATCTTCCGATTCTCACATGTGGGTTACATCTTCAGAGCTTGCGAGTACTGGAGAGAAGTTTTCTCTGGAGGCATTTCTGGGAGTGACAACGCACCTTCTGGCAAACCCCAATCTAAACAGCAGCCATGTTTTCCGAGCTGATATCTTATACGATAGCGCCGGTGTTATGAAGATCCCTGGCGACGAGGAATCAGACTGCTGTGGCGCCGTCGAAAAGACAAATGAGGATCAGCCAAACACCGCCAGGCCAGCGCCCATGCCGGCGGAATCATTTCCTAACCTCCATCTCAAGAGAACCATCATACGGCGGTTCATCCCCAGAAAACATATAGATCATCCAATAAATCAAACTTGTCATATGTATGAAGAAGATGTGAACCATGCAGATGTATCAGATGGTTCGCGCGAGGACCAGCAACGGTGCCTCTTCATCTTCACACCTCATGTCCACTCAGAAGATGAGATTCCATATTACCATCCAACGGTACGGGCATTAGCTCTATCATACCATCTGAATGATCCACTGAAAGATGGCAAAAATTGTACAGGAACTCTATCTATCCATTTTTCACCCTTCTCTGCTGAATTCACGCAATTCATTCCATACCGTCTACAGCGAACGTTGCTGGCCCTCCTGTCAACCCAGCTGCGCCTCGCAAGAAAGCCACTTGATGCATCTGCGGCGATTACTAAATCTGGAAGTATGACACAAAAGGACAACATCATTCAGCAGCATGTCTTTCAAAATACCTACTCGCGGCTGAAGAAAACATATGCTGCTTTCTTGGTGAATAACTGGGTTGAAACTACTGAACCTTCAAAACATGTTTTTGAAGATATTGCAATCGCCGCCTTTCTGATCGAGCTGTGGAAGAAAATGTATAGATTGCCGATTTCAACGACAATATCGACAGCAGCGACAACTGCAAAATTCAATCTCAACGGGGTGAAGGACGACCTTCCCCCATTTCCTGGCTTTGTTGATATGGCATGTGGAAATGGAGTGTTGACCTATATATTACTTTCAGAAAGGTATGACGGATGGGGATTCGATGCTCGTCGGAGAAAGTCGTGGTCTATTTTTCCACCCTCGATTCAAGAGCGGCTTAAGCAAATGATTTGTATTCCCAAGCCGTTCATGGAAGTCCTTGAGCGTTCGAAAGACTGCAGCAATATACCCTTACTGGAGACTGCATATTTAGTGCTGCACAGTGGGATTTTCAATAAAGATACGTTTATAATTTCCAACCATGCCGACGAACTGACTTTGTGGACACCCCTCCTGGGGGCTCTCCCGGATCCCACCTCTCCGTTGCCATTTCTGGCGATACCCTGTTGTTCACATGCCATTTCTGGAATGCGCTATCGACATCCGCCCCCAAAATCAGCTTCTAAGAGAGACCGGGCAAAAGGAATTCCCACGGCGGAATCTACTCTATCAGATATCAACAACGTCAATAATACTAATGCCAATGCCAATACAAAGCTCAACCAGCTGCAAGACAAATCATCAACACAAGAAAAGGAAGAGACACCAGCAGCAGCAGCGTCAGCATCGACAACAGTAGAGCAAAACCTGCAACCTTCCACCGGCGATCTCAAAGCCCTACGCGCCCTAAAGCTCGAGGAGCACACGAACCTGGCCTGCCAAAACTCCGCGTACGCATCTCTCACTGCAAAGGTCATCCAGGTAGCCGCAGAAGTGGGCTATGGCTCTGATATCGACAAGACGCTGCTTCGAATACCCAGTACGAGGAATATTGGTATTGTTGGTGGTGTGAAGAGGGTAATGTTGAGGAAGGGACGGGAAGGGGTAGATATGAAAACGGCGGCGGATGTGGTAGCGGATGTTTTGGAGAGGGAGTGTAGGAGGGATGGTGGAGTGAAGGCTGCGGCGAAGCTGTGGGTTGAGGGAGCGTTGGACTTGCAGGAAAAGCACGGGCGGGGGAAGTGGAAAAGGGGAGATGAACATAGGCATTGATTGACACCGGTGTAACTGCATTTTCGAAACCGAGAGCTGCCTTGTCATAAAGTGGGTTTCCTCCGTGTATGTGGAATTGTTTCAAGACTTGTTTCAAGACTTACGGATTAAATAACAGAAAGGGTGTTTAAATTAACTGCACGTATGCTCATGAATGCATGTTCTGATATGTACATCCAATCATGTCAAGGAATATCAAAAACGTCAAAACGGCTAAAGTGCCGGCAAAAATACCGTACTCAAAAGACAGTGAACCAAAAAATCCCCGAACACTTCATCTGACCTAAAAGGTCCATTCAAAAATCTCTGTTCATCATTACATATGTCTTACACATCCACACAATCCTCACCTCTCAACATCAACGCCTCCCTTGCCGCTATCTACATCCCTTCCCTTTCCCTTTCCCTTTCCCATTCCCTTCCCCTTCCCCTTCCCCTTGCTGCTGTTCCTCAACCCTTCCTTCATGCGTAACACACACTTCCCAAAATCAATCTTCTGGTAGTCCTTCGGCACATACTCCCCACAAACGATACACAAAACCTTCATTCCCCTCTTATACACAAGCCCACTCAGCAACTTAGGAGTTATGAGGAAATATTGCCCCCCACCCCCCTCACCACCAGAGGCACACGCAATATCAACCATCCGCTCATGTACCATCCTCTCATTCCTCGGATCCATGCCCTGGTTGATCTCATCGACCACTCGGAACGGCGAGGAGGACAGAGATTGCAGAGCCATGAGGTAGAAGATTGTGCTAACAGCCCGTTCACCACCGGACTGTCTGTGGGAGTCTAGGACGGAGAGGCTTTCATGCTCGCGAAATTTCACCTGGATACGAATGGCCCACCGGTCGAAATCGCTTGTGCTATTGTTATGGTTGTCACCGTTATCAGCCTGGGTGGAGGTGGCGGCAGAATCGCCGTATTCAGGGACCACATCCTCCGCTTTATCTATGCTCACTTGCCCCGCGCAGCCAATGCGAGCGAAGGAATCGGAGAAGGCGTCGCTGATTTTTTGAACGAGTTCTTCAAGCTTCGGCTCCCATTTACCTCGAATTTCTGCAATTGCTGCATCAAGTTCATCGAGGTTTTTCTGGAAGTCGGAAAGGTGGGACTTGAGCTTCTCAATGCGCTGCTGGCGCATTTCGAACTCCTTGATCACATTGCTATTGTCTTCACCAGCTAGTTCGAGGGCGGCTTTTTCAGAGTCGATCTCAGCTTCAAGCTGCTCAATGGTGAGGTTTTTGGTAGCGTCGATGAGCTCTCTCATTTCGGGATTTTGCAGCTCTGGGTCATTGTTGACTATGTTAGCAAATGCTTGGAAATCTTCCTGGCACTTGTTAAATCGTGTAGTTGCCACCGTAAACTCTTCGATGGCTTGTGCAAGTTCCGCCTTTTTATTGTTGAGGATACGGTTCACTTCCGTGTTTCTCTCCTTGAGCGTATCAAGGTCGGATACGGCCTCAAGGAGATTAACCTCCGCCAGAGCAAGATCTTCTATCAAGTACTGGAATTCATTGACACAATTCTGCGGAAGGTTTAGTATTGGAAAGTTACTCCCGGTCATCCGGGCAAGACTTACAGCATATTCAAGAGCTATCGAAGCCTTTTCAAGGGAAACTTGATCTTGTTTATTGCGAAGCGCTTCAACTCTCTTTTTCACCGCATCCATTGCAATTTCCGACGCGTGCGCTTTTCCCTGCAGCTGTGCTAGACTGGGAGTCAGTAAAAGAAGTAAAGTAGGTATGAGATAACGTACCCATTTTAGTAGGCAAAGCTTTAAAATTCATCAGGGCAGTCTGTTGAGTTGCCTTTTCCTGCTCCAATTCAACCTGTGGGTGGAGTTTTAGCAAAAGCCCATCTCGGACAGGCAATTCAAACTATGGGGAACGAACCTTCTCTCTCTGCGCCTTTTGATATTGTCCTTTCAAATTTTCAAGACTCTCTCTTTGTTCGTCAAGGATCCCCTGAAGCGTATCAAACTCCTTTCTCAATTCTTGGATATTATTTTCAATGCTGCTTCTAGCGGAAACATCAACTGGCTGGTATGTCCAGTGTCGGGCAGGTCGAAGTTGCCGAACTCGAGTCGATATGGCGCTCGGCCCATATTCACGTCTACGGACAACCTGATAGGACTGGCTTCCAGTCACCCAACTGCTGATCGGGCTGTTTATCATCCTCGTGTATTCTTCGTCTGTAATGTCTCGACGAGCTATGGGCGTCTGATGCAACCTGTTTTCGCTGCAGAGCATAGCCACGACTGGCTCAGGTCCAGTCAATAAATCTTGGGCCCAGCGGTCAAATCCCAAGGACCGAAGTTCCTCGTCCGTTATTGGAGACCGAAGATCTGATAGGGTTATCGATGATACCTTGAGAGAAATATCATGAAGTTTCAATTCGGAATAGAGTACTCGCTGTAGAATCCTAAAGTCATTTCGGCACTGCGCTGTGAAGGTCAAAAAGTCATTCCTTTGTAATAGCGATTCTATGGCGTCCGCGTATGTGGGATCTTTTATCGAGCATTCCACGAGTGGCGGACCAAAGACTTTCTTTTCGAACTTGGATTGATTCGCTTTTATCCATTCCCACGCTTTGGCAGTGTCTGCAGATATTGACTTCAGTTTCTCTGCTTGACGTCCACTCTCGGAGTCCAGGTTTTGAAGGCGTTCATATTCTTTCACAATTTTCCCCTTAATTATCTGATAATCCCGAAACGTGCTCTTTTTGGACTCCTGGATACTCCTCGATTTCTCTTCGATATCCCTAAGTTCTCGCACAGTATCCCGCTACGAAACATTAGCGACCCTGGAGGGAAGGGGGTGAGAGGGAACTAACAAGATAATGCTTACAATTTTATTTGTAAAGGCTGCAACATCGAATTCCACGGGTTCCTCCTCCATTTGTCGCTTGATTTTGTTGACTAAGTGAAGTGACTTTTTATAATTTTCCCTATGCGTGATCCCTGCCTTTTTCTCTGCTTCAATTTGCGCATCTAAATCTTTTATAGCATCCTGCACCTTGTCTAATTTTCCAACAATTGCAGCTCTGAATTCCTCCTTTTTAACAACCATATCTCTTTTCTGGGAGACAGCATCGTGTAGCGCAAGATAATAGTCCTTCTTCTCATTAACTGACTTGAGAGCCGGAGCTAGCTGGTTCTCCAATTCCATTTGCTCGTTTTGAAGATCCCGTCGTTTTTGCCGTGCATCCTTGAGAGCTTGCCGGGCCTCCTGGAATTTTGGAATTGGCCTTGCTTTTTCTAGTAAGGCGATCTTTTTTTGTATCAGCGCTCTTTGTTGCATCCTCTCCACATCCGCTCGTTGGAGTTCTTGCCGATTTTGCAAATTTGCCAACTGTTCTCGATCCTCAGCATTAGCAGCTAGCAACTTCTTCTGCTCGGCACGTAACGTCTTCAAATTTTCATGCCATTCTATCATTTCAGGGCCAGCTGCTGCTCGCTGTGTAGAGTGTAATAAGTCAATTGGGGTAAGCGCTGCGAACTCAGCGACTTTGTCCTGAGGAAGGAATTGGCACAAATTGTCGATTTGGATGGAGAATGAGTGCGCAAGCTCAAGGACACGGGCCTTGGTTGAGGGTTTCCCGTTGAGAGTGAAAGTGCTTTTGTTGTCTCTCCTCACAATAGTCCTGCGGATAATCGGGTTCTGGCGATGGGCTGGCCCTTTAGCCAGCTCAATTTCAATAGTGGCCTCTTCGCAACCATGTTTAACAAATTCAGCAGGATCTTTAGCACGTCCTAAATGCTAGAGTATCAGGGGTTATCAGCACACTGGGATTTACAGGTAAAGGGAGGGGAATACCCTCTCTCACAGCAACAACATATTTGAACATAGAAACAGTAACCATGTCTCCTTACCTGTGGTCCCCATCCAAGACCCAAACAAATTGCACATACAAGAGTACTCTTCCCAGTTCCATTAGGTCCAATCACCATATTCAACCTTGGGCCAGGAAAGAACTCTGCGGAGGTATAAGTTACAAAATCCGTAAGTTTGACCCTCACAATCGACCCAGGACGATGCTTCGGATTAGATCCATCTCTGTCTCTAATTGCTTGCGCGCTTGATTGCCTACCACTAGCAGAATGTTTTGTGCGAGATCCGCGCTCGGTCTTGACGACGGACGGATAGAGAGTGTTCCTAGACCTTGTCACCTCGGCCGGATCAGCCCCGTCATCACTATCGCTTTCTAGCGAACCACTCGTATCGTTTTCGCCATTTTCACTGTTGTTTGGTGCTGAAAGGCGAACGCGCTTGCTCCCATTTGATGCTTGGGAAAAGGGTGTGCCCTCTCTGGAAATACACGTCTCCCTTTCGTCGCTACTATCGTTGCTGTCGGATTCCAATTCGTTGGCTCGCCGTCGCCGCTGCAGGATGGGTACGACAGAAGGCATGTCGCTTTAGCCCACCGCGTGCGGCTTGAGCTGGTCTTTTGGTCTGTGGTTGTTGAAGCGGATCGAAGGTTGACGTCGTCAGTCTTGTAAGGGACTTGTTCGTCACGCATTCGCGACACGCGTTCTGGGGAGAGATGCGCTAGCCTGTATTGGGATAGATTGCGGTGTTAGTCATCAAGATTAATAACTAACTAACTAGTTGAACTGCCAGTCCCGACCGCGTCAACCCCTTTCTTCAATTCAAGATGCAACAGTTGACAATATCATGAAACACCTTTTCGGGTTTATATGCCCTCAATGTCTATAAATGATGTTTTCCATTCATACACGATCTTTAATCCGAGATAATCAATCCAAAATCCGCCCTCAATAATCAATATTAGTCCCTTAAAATAGCTACTCTTTCCGCTCTCTCCTTATTAGTGTTGCATCCATCCTGTTGATGTATTATAACCCGCCTATTATTATTACTCATTTATTTTCTGCCCTCGACTCTTAGGTGTGTTTCGTTTTACTCTTAGTAGACTCTCTCAACCGTGATCAGGTCATTTTATTGTATAAGACTATGCACTCCACTTTATTTCAATGAAACCATCAGAAACCATCAGTACAAGGGGTTCCTGCAGTAATAAAACAATGCGTTCATGAAATAGAAATAGAAGGAGACAAGAGAATATGGAAGACAGAGGGAAGAGTTGTTTCTCTACCCGTCTGTATAAAAAAAACATGAAGGAAAGGAAGTACGCCACTGTCCACCCTTTGGGACAGAAAAGAGGGAGAAGAAAAGGTGACATAAACCGGGGGGGGGAAGGTGGGGAATCTGTATGTTCAATCTTGCCCATACTGTTGGTTCCAAGAGGACATGGAAAGCTGGAAAAAAGGAACCAGTGGGCGAAGAAGTAAATATGAGATGAGAACTAAAAATTGGGTAAGCATGAAGAAATCACAAACGCCAACGCTGTCACTCTAGGACTTGGATATAGGGGGGGAGGAAACATCACAGAAATAACATGGAATATGCCCATCACTCCATCTGATAGCTGCCCCCCATCGCGTACTCTCGTCATGTTTGACTTTTGTGAGGATGACATAATTCCCAATTCCGCAAAAGGAAAAAGAAACAACTCACTCCGTTCTCAGATCCATTCAGCAGACAGCTTTCCAATCCCGACAGACCGGGTAAAACCTGGAATTATACGAATAACAATGATGCACATATAACCGATGAGTGCCTATCTGACAATAATACCTATTCCTTCCAAAACCCGTGGCCGAAACCCAAAATACACGTGCACTCAACGGAAAGAAGTATGGCAGGAAGGTGATACCATAGGACATGAGATAATCATACAAACACAGGGAAAGTTTTTTGTCAGAAGTAATTCCCCTTAGGCACAGAGACGAATATAGTCACAAGGATAGCAGTGATAACCGCGGAGGCGATGGAAATGCGGAGGAGGATCATAAAGTGCATGCGACGAAGAACCGGGTCCTGAATTCTAGTATCTGGATCGAAAACCTTTTCGAAGAAATTGCGTCTCCGATATCTGGGTATCCAGGGCTCGTCTTCGTAGGAATTGCTTTCACCGGTGCTGTCGAAGGCCTTGGATTCGACTCCTAACTTTTCTAGGGTATGTTCGTCTTCATCGGAGAAGAGTTCCCAGGGATGTAGATGGCGGCGGTTAAGGAAGAGAAAGAGCTGAAAGAAACGAAATTGTAAGCTTTAATTTGAGGAGTTGGAAACCAATATTTTAACACGAATACGTAAAGATCCCTCCGTCTTTTCTAGTTGATATATCTAAAGAACTTACAATGCAAGAACCGTTACACGAAGTGAGAAATATTATCAAGCCAGGCAGGAGGACTAACGCCGACAACGCTCTCCAGGCCCTTGTGGCGGAGCTGAATATGGGCAGAAGACCAGCTATGAGACCTAAAAGCATTGTAGTAGTACTGAGAATGCGAGCAGCGAGGACACGATGGCGGTTGCAATTATTCAGCGTCCAGCGAATAAAATTGGGATATGAATGGTGGCGAAGGGTCCATTCCACTTGGTCCACCACTTGCTTGAACGCTGATGGGTGCGTTGTGCACTCCATGGCTCCCATGAGATTTTCACGTTCCTTCGAAGTCAAGTTCAGCTGCCGACTGGCGCCATTAGCGATATAAGTCGCGTAAATTTTGCTGATCTCTTTTCGGAAGGGCTGTGCGATGACTACTTGAACGCTGGTCAGATTTTCCTTTTTCACCCTTGTCATATCAACTTGGATCACTAGGGATCGGTTGTTGCATTTTGATCTTGTCTCTTGAGCTGCCTGGGGTGCTTCGTTAGTCGTTTTGGCAGCCTCGTTTGCAGAACATTCTGCCCCCATCTCCTCTACTAGTGGGCTTGAGCCACAATCGAGTCCATCCGTCACGGGTGGAGTTCTCAATGTGCAATCAGGGTCATCAGAGTTTGGAATACCGGTGCCGGGAGGCGCAGTGTAGGTGGATTGAGATCCTTCAGTGACGGCTGTGACATCTTGGGATGGAGGTTTCTGGTCATTCGTGGTGGGTTGAACGGCATGAACATCTGCCTTTGGGCTCTTTTTACCGGTCCACTCCGGAGAAAGTTGTCGTTGGCTTTCAGCAATCAAGTAGAAACGTCGAGCGTAGTCCCGATACCATAGAAAGAACTGCAGGTTTTCGGCATTCCTCTCAACATATATCAAATAGTTCATGAAATCTCGAAGTGTACATGGCTAGTATAGCTTATTCGTCAGCTAAGAGCAATGCATTTTGGCCTTTGGGAATTTATTTAGTGTGGCTAGTCGTCGCATGATTTTGGAGCAACAATGATAGATCGGACTAGCGCAGATGTATATACGAACACAATATCAAAGTGTAAGTTATGTTTATCGACTTACAGGACAGGTACAACCACCGATGACCATATCAAACGATAATCCATCTCGATTGAGCCACACATCAACATTTGCTCGTCTTGCTAATCGAGATCGGTTGTCATTTTCGTGTGTTCCTTGTGCCCTGGTTGGCGGCTCAGGCGCATGACAGGGCTTGAAGAAACGAGACAGCATCCTGTCGGGAGAAAGGTGATGGAGAACAAAAGAACATAGGAAGAGGACGACACAACAGGTAACATGATATAATTTGATAAATGAGAAACCAGGCTCTGAGTTGATGAGAATTTCAAGAGGGGTGTCAGTGAGCAGTGCTCAATCAAGCGACTCTTCCCCAGTCCAACGCAACGCGGGGGGGATCTAGAAGGATTATTCGGGGCGTCACGACATGGTAGTTAAATGTGATACCTGCGCTGCTAAAATTGAGTTGGTATGTGCATAGTTGGTCGTTATTAGGTACGACCCTCCAGCATATTCCTTGAAGAGGGAGGCTAAAGAGCAAAACACTCCGTCCCTAGGCCCCATCAAGTATCGCATGTCGATGCTGCGCTGCGGAGCAGAAGCACCGAGCGAGAACTATGCCATCGACCATATCCACCTATATACGGGGCAACATCTCTGCCAATACCAGTTAGCGTTCACGAGAAGCGCCTCCCGCAGCGAAGAACTTTAGTTGATAGATAGGAGCAAATTTATGCTAACACGGATCTAAGTAGCTTAAGCAGCCAAGAATCTCCACAGATACCACCCAGACAACAAAGAATGTAATAATTGTATTTCTTGTCAACGAATTGGCAAACGCGATCTGTGATCGGCTATGGGCCGGACAGTACATACAATCCTAGCCCATTCCTAGTGGAGGGAGAGTATGTGGTCCTAAGAGAGCAACCTTGGAATGAGGTTATATCGCTAAATCGGAGTCTCCTTTCCCGTGCATAAGTTGTTCCGTTGTATGTTTTCCATTGACCATGTTAGTTTCATAGTTGAGAAGAGTAACTTATGGCTCAGCGTTGCAAGACGCGACCGCCCCTAGTGAAGAAACGAGTGTGGTTGAAAGAAGAGGGTTACGACGGTCGTTCTAGAGCGTTGCTAGAAGCAGCATTCAAAAAATAAAGTAGATGTATCATTCCAAAGGCAGATCCAGCTTACTCCAATGAAATGCAGTCTACTGCTTCCAAGGTTCGCGCTGGAGGCTTTTAGGGAGACGGCCACCGTCCACTCCACCAGCCTCAGGGCTAGCAAATCGATAGACCAGGCTAAACTAGATAGTCGTATTCCATGAATCTCACACCCAAGGTCTAGCACGCGGATGACCGACACTCACATTATTATTCGAAGTTAACAAGCGGGTGACCAGGAGTGGCAGCAGATGACAGGTAATCCACCACTTGGTGCTGAATGGAAGTCAGTCACTCGCAGCCATAAGATCCAGGATCTAACGGGTCAACAACCCCAGGTAACTGGTTACCGTGTGCCTAGGAGAGAGTGAATAATATATAATGAATCTGTGATACAAGAAACGTCAGCAGGAGTAAAAAGCCTCCCGAAACCCAATTTACGGAGACTGCGTAAGAGTCTACGAGGCACGGGGTGGCCGAATGGCATCTTTAGTTGCCGATTGGGTGTTCGGGGGAAGGCTCAAGATCGCGGCTCGTAGGTTAGGTAACCACTATTCCAATTGATAAACAGTAACTAACTAGTAGTGAAAATTCAGCAGCACGACGTTTCATAGAGCTTTCCACCTCTGCGTAAAATCAACAGGAATGCCTCGTTTCCGCGCTATAACCGCTGTCAGAGAGGTCACTATGTATTTGAAATCCTGCGATACTTTCTGAGCACCAGTCCGTTTTCAAAATCCAGAACTCCAGGTAAGCCTGCGAGGATCGGGGGGGGGTAACCAAACCCTCTGTTCCGAAAGTACCGGGATACGCTTAAGAGATTGAAGAGAAATGGCAGAAACACCCGCTGGAATCAAGGGGTATTGCACGAAAGGGGAAATACCGGGGCACCTAAGCCACTCTTGGAAAATGGGTGAGGTGGATGTGACACTCTCCTTTTTTAGGTCGAGCTCCACTTGCATGGCCCGATGGAGGTTGCAACTTGCAACTAGCACGTTTTAAAGCTGAACATGCTTGCCAAACCTAGGGTTTCTAGACGCCCCCAGCGCTGTTTAGCTGAAGAGGTCGTCAAGGCAGCCCTGACGAGAGAAAGTATGGTTGGTTTCGCCACGATGATGCTGAGGATTTAGCTGATAGGTGCCAAGATTAATATAAATGTGATTTTCCAGACATCGTAATTATTTTTTAGCAGTGGACAGGGAAGAGGATTTGAATCGTCAGGAACCCGCGTGTGGCGAGCGTAGCAAACATGTCAGATAAACTATGCTGTCTACATCGTGAATACACAGGTGGCCGGAGTTCAGCATCCGGTGTTTTCAGTGTTCAGCGTTAAGTGTTCAGTGTTCAGCGTTCAGCATTCAGCATTCAGCAGTCAGCAGTCAGTGTTCAGTGTTCAGCATTCAGCAGTCAGTGTTCAGCGTTCAGTGTTCAGTGTTCAGCGTTCAGCATTCAGTGTTCAGTGTTCAGTGTTCAGCGTTCAGTGTTCAGCGTTCAGCGTTCAGCGTTCAGCGTTCAGCGTTCAGCGTTCACTGTCCGCTTCACTTTTAGCCTGAAGCTTGGACTGCAATCTAGAGTTGGTTTCACCCTCCAACGCTCCACAAGGCAATCCTTAGCAGGTTTGATACATTCCACATTAGCACAGATGGGATTGTGTGATTTTCTGGGTCCTCCCTTCTCCTGTGTTCACAGCACATGAGAATGGAGAGAAAGAAAACTACTCTGTGTATGCATGGGACGAGATGGATCACCTAAACAGTAGTAGGGCCTGCTGACTGATGGACGCCAAGAACTCGCTGTCCCGTTGTGGCAATCAAAGCAGGACGGCAAGATCACATGTCATCGGTGTCTTCAATGTTGCTTGGGCCTGGCATCAGATGGACCCAAACGTCATGAAACAACTTCGGTCATTCTTCATGAGAGATGCACTGATGTCATGCTTCTCACTACCTGCAAGCTTGGATTATTCGCCTTATTAGCTTTCTGGTAGTTATCCTAAGTTGGTTGTCGGCTTTCGGGCTGCTTTGATCGTCCATACAACTGCTCTGACACGGATAGATGGATCCTTGTCGCGAGAACCCTCGCGTCTCGGAAGGGAACATCGATACAACACATGCACTCCGCCATGCCTAGAGCTGGCTCTGATAAACAAGCTCTGTCTAAAAGGAAGGCCGACCCTGAGGACGCTGACGATGATTGGGATATTGAGGAGCATACCTCTTTATCACCCAGCAGGACTCTTCTTCCGCGGCCAGTGGCTTCCCTTGTGACACTATTTGCCCAGTCAACATCTCTATCTCTTCGTGTCGGGACATTTCTAGGCAGATTTACCATCGATAGTGCAAGAGCTACAACTCTCACCGGTCTGGCACTGAGCAGGGCTGTTGTCGAAAACATCCTGCTAAAAGCTGGAAGGGATGTGGCATTACAGGGCACCGAGTATGGAAGGGCGGAGGCCGAATCGCTGTTGGAGCGCAGTGTATGTTGTTCCCTTGTCTTCTTCATTTTATCTGAAAATGTTGACTGCTAGCTAATCACTCCCATATATATACAGTTGGCAACATTGCACTCGACTATAACGTCAGCGTCATTCTTTGCCTCTGCCGGTTTCCACTTGTCTTCCGTGACCTTATCTTCGTTTTCCGATTTCTCCCAGAATCTTCTTTCCACACTGGATGCCATTCTGGGATCGTCTGAGTCGTCTCGTGCAATTGCAGCTATTGTCACTCTTATCATAAGAGAATTTCGCAGCAAAGACACTGAGTATGGTAGAGAGAGAGCTGGCGTATCTGATCTGCTGGTTGGTTCTATCGGCTTCCTCTTACTGCAGCGCTGGGGTCGACGAACAACTGAGAGGGAAATGCGGGAGAGTGGGAAGGAGGAAACGGTTTGGGATGTAGTGATTCTGGACAATGGGTTGAGAGCGGATGTTGTAGGGACCCAACACACGGATTATCCTGAAGATCTCGACACAGGACCGGCCAGTGCCACTACGCGCCCAGCATCTTTCGTATTACCAAACGAGGCTGACGGGACTGAGCTTTTCGGAACAATGGAATATGACGCATCTGTCAGTCGACACACTCTGGGCACACTTTTCCCCCACGTTTCACTCCCCGCGGATCAGCAGCACGAACTTTCTGAGGAGGAAATTCGAATATACATTATGAACCAGCTACCAGAAGGCACCAGAGCTTCAATAAGAACCGATACGATAACGTCCAGAACCATTACGGTTGACTTTTATGATCACGACGTTGTTGATATATCTCCCCCGCCTGGTACTGCAGTGGTGGCAGAAAGGTTTCACCATCTTCTGGACGCTGAATCAGGAGATAATTCAAACAACTGTGTAAGTCACTTGCCTAAGCATACGGTTGTATTTCGAACCTCCTCAAATCACACGGAAAGCGCAGAACTACGCCGAGAGGGTCCGAATGGTCCGCCACATACTCCAGACCAAGTCGGTAACACGCGACCTCCGTTGCTGCAAGATACGCGGGAATTGAGCAAATCCGATGATCTAATGGCCGATGCGGGGCTACCTTTCACCGAAAATTTGCCTGTATCGGATCCTTGTGTAGAGATAACGGGTGATAGCCGATCCTCTCGAAGGGCCCAAGCCACTCCCACAAACGACTCTGAAGTGCAGAAAGGAACTCGTGTGAAATGTCCATTCTCTAAGTTTACCCAGAAGGTAATATCTACCACGGATGATAAAGTGATCAGTAAAATGCCGCCGTTGCAAAAAATTTCCAAGGGTTTAGCTTCCCGTGGGGGAGAAGACAGTCAATCAGACAAGGAAAATATTGCCCCGCCAAATACCCCGAAAAATCATTTATTGAAAATACCATCTGGCAGACCCAACATCAACGAAACTCTGCATTCCGTTGGGCCAAAGCTAAAACATTCGAGTTCTACTGACAAGACTTTGCCTCGTTTGCCATCGAGGCATGATTCTTCAAACCAGAAACGAAATTTTGGCAATTCTACCGTTACACATCCAAACACCTCTCGGGTTAAAAGCTCTTCAAGGCCAAGTTATTTCTCGGTTCGAGGAAAGAGCGTCGAATCTTTTGTCGCGCAGACTGATGCGTACTCCCGCCGCCCTTTAGATTCAAGACCTAGCTCCCCCACTATTGCAAGGAATCACGTTCGTAGCAACAGCGTCCTCTCCAGGACGAGGTCAGAAAAAGATATATCTACCCTACTTAACGATGATGATGCCTGCCCTCGAACTCCAACTTCTCATCGTAGAGGATCCATCATATCCCTGGCACCGAGTACATATTCCATTGCTGACGCCGGATCAGAAACTTCTTTAGTGCTTGCCCCTCGACCTGCAAAAAGTGTATACGAAGATCAAGCCACGATTCGGGCCCTCAAGCGTGACGGAAGGGTTCCCGGAATGTTCCCTGACGACCACATTGTGAAAAATATCCAGAGATTTTGCCGCTTCTCATCTGCATCGTATGGTTCGAACTTCCTCCGCATAATGGGTATCGGAGAAGCCAAACATACATGGCAGAAGAACAAAGATATTTATGATGATAATCATGAGCACAGTTCATTTTCGAAACATACTGGACTCCCAGCGTCAACTATACTGCTTTCATCCTTCGTCGACCCTGCTGGTGGCTCGAATTCAGCTGGTGAAACAGCTGAAGGGTTCCCTTTGGTCCACTATCTGTCCCTAGATCATGCCTCCAAAGCCGTTGTCCTGACGCTTAGAGGAACGTGGGGATTTGAAGATATTTTGACAGACATGACATGTGATTATGACGACCTCTACTGGTTGGGAATGACATGGCAGGTTCACAAAGGAATGCATGCGTCAGCAAGGCGGCTCCTCGAAGGAGGTGGGAGGCGTGTCATGGTGACCATGCGAGCCGCATTAGAGGAGTTCCCAGAGTATGGTGTCATTTTCTGCGGCCACTCCTTAGGCGGGGGGGTCGCTGCGCTCCTCGCAACCCTAGTGTCGAAGCCAAAAGATCCCGACCAACCTGGTCCTTCTTTCGTAACTGCATCAGATCCTTCACTAGACATGTCCATGCTGGTATCCTCCAGCAGCACGCAAATCGAAAAGCATCCGAACCAACTCTTTCTCCCCTCAGGACGACCAATACACGTCTACGCCTTCGGCCCACCCGCCGTAATGTGCCCGTCCCTCCGCCGCGCCACAAGAGGTCTAATCACAACAGTCGTCAACGGCCAAGACATCGTCCCCACATTATCCCTCGGCGTCCTCCATGACTTCCATGCCGTCTCCATGGCGTTCAAAAGCGACATGTCCGACGCCAAGTCTCATGTCCGCTCACGCGTCTGGGAAAGCATCACTGCGCGTCTTGTCAACGGGTTTTGCGTCAATAGGCCGCCACTATTCATACACGCAGGCGATAGAGTCGGCGAGGATTCTTGGGCCTGGACCACGCTGAAATCCCTGCGAGAGAATCTGGTTGCGCCAAAGCTACTACCTCCTGGCGAAGTTTTTGTCGTGGAAACGATGCGCGTTTTGCAGCGCGATGCATTTACACTGGATCCCTGTAGCAGCACTGATGGGTCGCCACGCCTGGGCCGACCTGCAACTCGTGTGCAGCTAAAATTCATCCGCGATGTGGAAACGCGGTTCCGTGAAGTCAGATTTGGGTCCGGGATGTTGGGGGATCATAGTCCCGGTAGGTATGAGGCTAATCTGGGAGTCTTGGCGAGGGGGGTTTTAGAGAGTTGAGTTTTATCGTTACTTTCATTATACGGATTCCTCGGGCTTTGATTATTCTATTTTCTGGGTAGACTGGGCCATTTTATATTCATATCCCTTTTCGTTTTGCGTTCATCTTTAGGATTTCCTGCATTTCGGATGACTGGTATCTTTGATCGACAAGTTCGTGTTGGAGTGTTAGTTTTTCTTTTTTGTTGTCGATATTCCTATATTTGTCCATCTTCTTTTCCCTCCCAGGGAAACCTTCACGTCCATATTTTTATTTGCGTTCGAAACGATTCCTCAATTTTGACATCAGCAATATGTGAATCTGGAGAGCTTGCCAATGCTCACTGGAACTGATTATTTATCATGGTGGATAATAATTTGCATTTTGGCTGGTAAACGGGTTTGGCTGGATGTCTCGGTACGGCTTGAATTATATCTAGATGGGATGAGGTAGCGATAACCTATTTAGGCATATAGATTTACATTAGGCAAACTAATTTGACCCATGGCAAAAGCCAAGTTCGACTCTGAGTTTTAAACAAGATTTGATGCTTTAATGATTAAATCCGATCATTGATTTATTCCAAATCCAGTTCGAAGCTACGAGACCAATGATAATCCCATAGCACGCTGTCTTTTTCCAAGATTCGCAGGCCGTCGTTCACTCAACATTTCCTCTTCATCAAACCAAGTGTTCAGGCTTGTGTACATGAGAAAGTCCTTATGGATAGTTGCTTGCCTGCTCACCACCCCCTGCAGAGCCCAGATAGATCATAGTTCCTCGGTCATACCATACCAGCCCCATGCAGCAATTAACACTCCTGAAGTAAACCGGAAAACAGCCCTACCAGGCCCTCCTTCACGCCAGCACACATAGCCATCCACCAAACCGACATATCCGAGGGTTGTAAGGATGGTATCGAATTCCGCGAGTTTTCCTTGAGAGTAAAATGCCCATAGCGCAAGGCCGATTGCACTGATGCGTGCTGATGCTGTCAGCATCACTGATTGCGCTGGTTCGGAGACGGCAATACGTTGCGGTAGGCCAAATTCTTTGATCGCATACTCGGCATTATAGAATGGGATCAGGCCACCGAATGTCATGGCAGCAGCAACAAGGAGGGGTGGAATATGTCGGGGGGTAAAGTGAGCAAACATTGTGTCTCCTTGTTTGCTAATGGAGAAATAAGAAGTCGAGGAGAGGACTATGCTTCAAATTAAATTTGTTAGTTCTTGTCAACGGAAATATATACCCAACTGCCAGGTGATATTTGAGGTTCCCGAGCAGAATGAGATGAGCAGTGGATGGTACGAGCTGAATGAAAGGATCTAAAATCTGACCTTGAACCATCAACACCGAACACGCAACGGGATTCACGTAAGGTGTCCATACCTGTATCGCAATCAAACCCATATACCCGTATAACCCATGTTGGGATTCTTAAGGAGTTAGGGCTAGGTCTTAGCAGCCGTTGAGGGATTAGGTTAATACCCTGCAGTATCTTAAATGACACTCTGATATTCCATTCAACTTTTGCGAAACAAATAAATAAAAGAATAAAAAGATATATTTGCTTGATAAATGCGTCGATAGTCAGACATCATAGAAATGCCCAAATTAATACAACCGATCCGTCTCTGAGCGCTGTGGCATTCCACCGACATGCGATGCCAGCAAAAATGAGCTTTTTACATTGCTGGATCAGAATGGCAATTAAATCCAAGACAAACAACACACGTGCATTTCATTGATATATCTCCTCAGGGAAATCAAACGAGTGGAAAACCGGTTGATGATTTTGAACTTTTTCATCACTAGTCCAGCCAGACAAACGATATGGCAATCCAAAATGCCAGTCGTTTCCCTCCCGAATTTTATTTTTATTTTTATTTTTATTTTATTTTATTTTATTTTTTCCCCACCTTGGTTGCGTTGCGCATGGGTCCATCTCAAGTCGATACCTCCTACCATACTATAATTGGCAACTGCTGGTTCACAGTCCTAGAGCTTGTAGCTCAGGAAAGGCTTTTCTTGCGGACACAATGGACGAACCCGGCCCATAAACCACATATTGGTATATCTATCATCTGATACATGCAGCACATCAACGTCCTTTGTCCTGACCGGATGCTGAATACGATTTGAGTCCGAAGGAGATCGACAATTTGTACCAGCGAGAGGGTCGAGGCCGACAGACGAGCCGAGTTTTTACGGCATGAACTCGAATCGCGGTCAGGTGGACAAAAGTCCACCCAAAACGTATGCAGGTCTGCAGGAAACTTGGCCATGACTCCTCCAGTCGATATAAGGTACGTATCCTAATATCTCACTTTCAGTTTCTCATTGCGCCATCCCCAAATTGGTGAAGCATGCAATTGTGTTGTCGACCACAGGATGCAACCTGAGAAGCAGGGAAATCTGCTCGACCTCCGAAGCCCACCCAACACAGACTCCCGAAGCCACGGGAACAACAATATGCCGGTGCGAAATTCCCATCACCCCTTAGAGAGATCTCAGAAACAATGGGCGTTGAACTCCATGGCATGCTTTTTCACCTTCCGGAATCCTCCACCACATGAAAGTGGATAGTGGATACCAAAGGTGAATCCAAATAAGCGGGGAAATGTGCGTTCAAAAGACCCCAATTCCATCCCTTTTTTGCCTAGCATCGATATGCGTATGTCCTCTGTAAACAACCCATTTCCTGTCCAGCTCCGTAACGGTCGAACGTCAGCTCGCGATAAGCCAAACTCCATTTCAACCCCCCTTCCCACTACTCCCAATGCTCTCGCTCCTGCGCCTACTCTCCTGCCTCGCCTGCAAATCTCTGATTTGCTTCTCCAAGGAGGATCGACGAATAACGAGTTTCTCTCTGGCAGATTGGAGGGCTTGGATTTTCTCAGCAGGTGTGGCAGACAGTTGTCTTTCGATCTCCTATAAAATTTTTAATACTTCTGTTAGATTGACTATGCAACACCTAATAAATATATATATATAAATAAATCCATCCCCCCCTTTGGTCATTTGTGGTATTAAACGAATAACGCACTTTCTTCGCATCCTGATTCATCTTCAATCCCGCACCGTAGAGAGAGCCAGTAATCGTGCATATTGTTACGCCGGCGGTGAGGATGATTCGTCTTGCTTTGGGAGAGAGGATTGACATGGCTTTTTGCGATATGTAAGTTTCAAAGGATCTCCCAAGTGATGAGGGAATGTCCTGGTCAAATAACACGCAATTGAGTATCTATGCGAGGAGATTCTGAAGCCATCGGGCGCTGTCGTCGGTTTGGAAAAGTTATGTAAATTGGTAAGCCTTTCCAGTTTGTCATGTTTGCAGCTTTGGGCAAAAAAAAAAAAAAAAAAAAAAAAAAGTCCGAGTTCAGTTCTCTCTACGGAGTAGTTAACTGTACAATTTTGCAAGAAAGCAATAAAACCCTCCAGCAGCAATGGAAGTATTCGAATTAGAGTCATACGCTGCAGTTGTCTAAGGAAATTAGTTATCATATGCCCTGAACCATCAATCAGCCAAAGCCTAGATGTCCCGTAAGTATGAAAGAAAATACGCAAACCCCGAGCGCAAGTAATTCGAACGAAATTGCAGAACTATATAAAAGATCGTAGTCCATCTCCATCAAACCTTCCAGTCAACCCTGTGATTCTCAGTGCACCCCCTCTCTTTACCGGATCGATCATTGTAGATAGACCGATATACACAACTATAGATATCGCCCAAAAACGAAAATGCCTCTCGCGCCGCGCTGCTTCATTGTTAACCACGGCGAGACTGAATGGTCATTAAGCGGAAAAACACACAGGCTCTACGGACCTACTCTTAACAGAAAACGGTGAGAAGAGAGTAAAATCTACCGGGAAAGCACTGGAAGGAGACGATCGATTAATTGTCTCAAAAAACCGTGCACACATGTAAGCCAAATAGGCTACCTATTCCTATCCCAATCCATTCATTCCTCTTTATCCTTTTTGCTTCCAGTTCATCCCCCCTTTCCTCCCAACTGATGAATCCCTTATCCCTGACATAATTGCTGTCTGCCTCAGGATATGTTCCCCCCCCCCCCCCCGCGCTGAAGAGCGCAACGAACGCTCGGACTCCTTGAGATCGGATGCAAAGATCGGCTACCATGGCTACCTGAGAGGCAAAACACGCCTCTACGTACTGAAGCACAGGTTGAAGTCACCGAAGCTATCCGTGAATGGGACTATGGTGGTTACAAAGGCATGAAAAGTGAGGAGATCCGAGAGCAGAGGGCTAGGAGTGGGAAGGGGCCGTGAGATATTTGGCGGGATGAATGTCCAAGCGGAAGGTCAGTTGCATTGATCGACTTTTTAAAAAAAAGGGAAACAAGAAAACCCAATTCTTCTGTCAGCTTTTTTCCAATGTAGCAATTTTTGTAGACTGCAAAATGGGGCTGCCTGTCTCTGATCCTAATTGCTGATGGCTGATAAAAATAAAAGATCACCAGAGGATATCATCCAACGACTCGATGCGCTCATTGATGAAGTCAGATTGAAATATCACAGCAAAACAATTGGGAAAGTCCGCGCATGAAGTGCCGAAACGCGACATTCTTGTTGTTGCCCATGGGCACATTTCGAGGGCGTTTGCCATGCGCTGGATTGGGAAACCGCTGACGGAAACTGCATTTATTTTGGAGGCTGGAGGAGCCCGAACATTGAGGTATGTGTGTCATGTCTTTGATGAAGTTTGATCGAGCGGGTGAAAATATCAAGACTTGCAAAGGGTAGTGCACTGCATGACTGACACGATGAGTCAATTGCCTTAGTTATGAGCATCACAACATAGACGAGCCAGCCATTCTCCTCGGAGGAGCTTTTGATGTTGACGACTAGAGCATATCCAATTCCGAGGGATGATTTGGGGTGGTGTGTGTGTCGGAGACCTTGTTCCCTTTATCTGTTTGGTCCTTTTACTTTATATACTCCGATGATCGGTGAAATCAAACCACCAAATAGACCAATTTGATGTAGTCTTTCATACCCATGTAGTATACCACATACCACAAATATAGCCAGACAAATCCACAACGTTCATGGCCCATTAACAATCACAATAATAACATCCCACAGCCAATTCAAACCCCTAACCACCCCCCTTTCTTCCACTCCCACGTTCGCCGGCACCCCCACCCCCCTTGTCACCGCCTTCCTCCCCCAATACCTTCGCAGCTCCCATAAACAACCCCCCCACATAACCACCAAGAAACCGCATATCGCCCGCCTGCGCAGCTGTCATGCGCATGAGATTTTCCATATCAGCTAAGTGCGCATTCAGCTGCGCGAGCTGTGAGTGTAGTTGTGCATATTGGCGTGTTTTGGCAGTGGACATAGCCATGGACGTTTGTGGGAGGGGTTGTTGGTGTTGTGCTTGTGTTTGTGCTTGTGCCTGTGCCTGTGCCTGTGATGAGGTTGAGGTTAAATACCCAGGGTTGGTTGTGAGGTTGGCAGTATATGCGGCTGTGGTGGATGAAGGGCGGGAGCGGGATTGGCAGTCATTGTTATTGTTATTTTTATTGTTACGATTGCGGTTTTGGTTGTAGGAGGATTGTTGTTGCTGCTGGTGTGGCATTTTTGCTGTTGTTGTTGGCTCGGTTTGTGGAATTGGTCGGTGTATTGGGGTGAAAGTGGATGTGTTCTTTTAACCTGGGGGATTGGACGGTGGGTTAGTTATAATGAAGGCGACCTTATTGCAAAGGAACACCGCGTAATGCAAGCCATGTAGGTTTGTTACGAAACCATGGAGAAAAGTCCTCGAAAACTAGGTGGATTGTTTACATTACAGGCGGCGTCTATCCTTGGATTTGATACGTTGGTAGATCTTCGGGTCCGATAATCACCTGACAACTGGATGGATGGATTTCACCCACTGAAAATATCCCCAAAAAATATTTCTATTTGAATCTTGATACTAGCAACTGCAAGTAGAACTATACATTTAATATTCGTTTGCTCAATGGTTCTCTCAATTAGTTTCCAAGAGATAGTCACAGTAGTTACAACTTAGAAAATCTATTACTTAACATCCAGGGAAAGACAATCATGTGAGGATTGATTTAAGTCACCACATTAACTGGAAGCTGTGAAGCGAGGGAAGGGGATGGAAAAGGAGATGAGGGCCAGGAGGCAAAAAGCTTGACGATTAGATGATAAACAGAGAGAAAGGAATTGAGACATTATATAATGCACTTTCATTGTTCACAGTTGATAAGCAAGTTGTCAGATAGAATAAATGAACAAGATGTTGATTAAGAATTTAATTCCTACACTCTTTATTTCTCACGACTACCACTGTCTTTCTCATTTGATCTTTCTCTCTTTGTATGGTCTGCTGCACCAAAGACTCAAGGCTTTACTTTCTGACCTTGATGAATGTTCATTACTGAATCCCATCCACATTCTTTCGACAAACACCAGTTTTCCATATGCAACGCAACAGGTCTGGCGAAGAAAAGAAGAAAAAATTAATACAACATAGGAAAAGGTAGGTATGGAAAATAGAAAATGCAAGGCAATTAATAAAGTGAAAGCAAGAGAACTATAAAGAGACAAAAGAGAAGAAAATTAAAATTAAATGACGCCAGGAAGGATGCAGAGTACAGCCTATTTGCAAGCAAAAAGTGAGAGGCAGAAAGAAACTGATTAAGAAACGTTTTGGTTTTCAATTAGAAAAAGGAAAAGGAAAGATCAAATGAAAAGCAGAAGCTGTGTGCAGAGTGTGGTATGAGTGCATGTGTGTACCTAGGAAGGCATTTTAATATGATTAAGAATCTCACCAAACCGATCCATAAGGCAGACATAGTACCATGCATTGGTAAGAAAAAAGAACTGCAATAGAAAACCAGCCATTCACTGAAGACAAAGAGGGGACCTTTCCCTCCATATGGCAGAAGTGGAAACTGTATATTTGGGTATAAACCTGGCAATCCAGCGATGGAAGCTGTAAAATTTTTCTATGAACATCCGAGTGCTAGTAATGGAAGAAAACCCCGCTAAATATGTATTGGTCGGGGAAAGGTTGGGATGACACCTTGACAACACAGAAAAGCAGAAAAAGATTGAGGGGGGGGGGGGGACTGCCAGTGGGAGACGTATTGTATAGCAGGGACAAAAGAGAACTGAGCTAATGCCATGAGAAAAGAGCAAACAGAAAATGCAACGGTTTATGTAAAATAAATTCAAAGTAAAGACTCGCAATCAGGGCCTATCCCCGATGGAGGGTACTGCCAGGTTAGGTGTGGAGGATATCATTAATGAAAGGGGCGTCTAAAAAAGTCATAACGTAAACTTTGGGCGGTTTCCTGGTTTCCGGTTTCGTGGAAACAAATCAAGGCGTGGGGTATGTAAATTGAGTCGGGGAATCGGGGCTAACAAACAATATTCGAGATTGAAAACACGCTTTCATTTGCATACATTCTTAACGAGTTAACGCCGGTGGACGAGGCCCTAGACTACTCTGGCTGCTATGAGCAGAAGTTTCGGGGTCGAGATTGGCGCTGGCACCACTATCCCCACTCCCCGCGCTGGCGCTCGCACTCCCTGTCAGACTTCGAACATTTGGACTGCCCTTGGTTGGATACGAATTGCTCACCCCGACATGTTGCTCGACCTGTTGCGGGGCTACCGCATTTCCCTGTCCCGGAGGATACTTCGGGACCGGTGCTTTCATCATTCCAGGGGACGGTCTTCCTCCTGGTGACATCATAAGTGGCTGCCCGTTATACGGATCATGACCTGGTGAAGGGCGCCCCATACCACGTCCGGCAGGGTGGAAAGAAGTTCCAGGAGACTGACTGGGTCGTCTGCTTGGGTGGAAGTTGCCCTGTCCTAAGTCATTGATGCGGCTGGCGGTCAGTGAGTTTGCTCTCGATTCATCCCGCATCTCTTTCCTGTCAACATTTCCATATCGATTGGAAGAATAGCCCATCATGGGGTTATTCAACAGGGAATCATGCATCCCAGGAATCTCGTCCAGAAGCCGAGAGCTAGCACGATTTCTCCCTCCACCACTCATACGGCCACCAGCAAACTGCCTGCTAAAAGCCGACGGGGGCCTAGAGGGAGGGCCACCACCCATCTCCGGGTTCTTGCGGAACTGACTTGCATTGGGTACTTTCCGATTTCTACGAGAGGTAATACTCATCATATCAAAATTGTCAGGGTCAATTTGCGGCATAGGCGGGCCACAATCCATGGGGTCAAAATAATCATCATCATCCATGTCGTCGAAAGCATCACGTCCGGCTGATGTTCGTCGTCTGCCTCTTTTCAGACTCATTTCCTGTTCTCGCAATTGTAGTTCACGTTGTCGGAGGGCTAGCTCACGCTCCCTGAGGGCTAGGTCCGCAGCGGAAGTGCCTCCATTTGACACGGGAGCATACCCACCATTCTGCGCGCCGTCCTCTACCACGTCATCGTAAAGAATAAGGTGACTGAATTCCTCCAAGTTATTTTCTTCTGATGTTTCCCGCTGCACTGGGGGTGGGCCTCTCGGAGGGTGTCCATTGGGAGGTGGCTTGGGATGGGAACCCATCGGGGGAGGGCCACGTCTAGGTAAGGGCATTCCCCCATCAGGGCCAGGCCCAATTCTACCACCACGCACTCCATTCAATGGGGGTCGGGGGGGATGCGCTGCGGACGAAATTCGAGGGGGTGGGTGCATGGCGTTGGGTGATGCCGCATCCTGTTGTTGCTTTGTCTGATTAACGGTGTTAATGTGGTGAAGCATGGCATATAGCGTTTCGATTCGAGGAACTTTAATTCCAGTTTCCATGGCAAGTTTTATCGGGGATCCCAAGAATGTTTCTATTTCCATTGGACGCCTAGCTTGGAAATCTTGGTACATAATACTTGAACACTCTGACGGAGTGATCATTTTCTCGATTGTTGATTCCTTGAACTTTTCGGAAAATGTGCAACCTTGAGAATTGGCTAGACTGACGAGCTCGTCAATAACGTCTGAAACCAATTGGCGAAGTCCAATTTTCTCTAACAGATCCGCGTGTTTTGGACAATCGAATATCACGCTAGCCGGATGGAAAGAGATAGGCCTGTTATGATGATATGAGCATCCACAACAAAAAATAAAATAACAAGTGTAGATTTTGTTTTTTTTTTTTTTGTTTGGTCGGTGACTTACCCAATCATGCGATCATATTGCTCCTGCCTTATATTTTCTGATACCTTGCAGTCCACCTGGCCTGTGCCCAGTGTAATAGCCAATGCCACAGCCATGTCTGTTTGAATTGACGAGGGGATCATGGCATTTTTTGTGGCGGGCCCAACCCAGACATTCGTTGACGCAGCATGCTCGAATTCGCTAGTGCCCGTCTGGTTGATTTCGATCCCGGACACCAGAGAGAGGACAACGTTTGTAGGAAAGCGGTGCTCCAAATGAGCTTCGACTCCTAGTGTACTGGTGGTGTTGACTAATATACAAGTGTGTTGGGGAGTGACGACTGACTCAATAACAGAGGCAAGGTCGTAGACATCTGGTAGAGCTTTCAGGCAAAGAATAACGTAGTCGAAGGGATGGTCTGGTGAGACTATTTCGTCTGGGCTGCGGACAACTATAACAGTAAGCATTGAAGTCAGTGGAAAGCCTCTCCATAAATCAAATGTGCTGGATTTGACTAGATTCACATACCCTGGAAAGGTTTGAAGCGTTCAATACCAAACACTTTGGACCTAAAATAAAGCAGGCATTAGTTACATAGATTCACGCATCCAAGCTTCGACTGGAAGGATCAAAAGTAGTGCATGCAATTTGAAGCATACCTGAAAGTGATACCATATTGTGAGACAGCATCAAAGCCTGACTTCCATACAAGAGTCACATCACACGATTTTGTGGCCTGAAGCCGCCACGAGAGAAAAGCCGAGATTGCATTGCCTCCAACTACAAGACAGTCAGACCAGTGACCTCTTTGCGTTAAGAGAGGCGAAATTAAACCCAAATCAAGGCATCAAAGCCAAACACCAGAGAATATTGACTTTGGTATAACAGCATCAAGCTACAATGGATATCGATGTAGATATAACTGTGTATTAGACGGAATGGTTTGCGCTCAAGGCCAGGACGTACCTGATAGGATCCGCAGTCTGGGCGGCGAAGGAACCATTGCCGGCAGACTTGGGTGCAGAAAGACCCAAGGTCAACCAAGCAAGAGCCGCAGGAAGGGGGGCGAAAAGGGCACTCCCGCAAAAGGGAAAAGCAAAAGAGCGAAAAGAAAGGAGACGAGATTCCCAGCAAACGGGAAGCGCTGTTTAAGTCTCCCTAAAATGAAACTGATGCGGACATCCAGTAGCTAGGAGCGAGTATGTATTGATTCCTTGTCTTTAATATGGGATTCAAGGAGGTAGGGAGGAATGGAGAAACAGAGGGAACCGAGGGAGATCGCTTATAAAACAACTGCAGGCAACCTAACGAGCGACGATGACAGGCGATGAGCGTCAAGACAATGCGGCTATGGGAAATGCAAGTACGGGTATTGGGCGTTGTAGTCCTAGATGAAGCGACTGTAGAGGTATTCGAGATGCCACACAGTTCGACGACGTCAGATAAACAGGCGACAGACACGGGCAGAGAAACTCGAGTCTAGCAGCGGGTATGAGAAGACCCTAATTCGACAACCAGATCTAGATCATCGCTTTAGCCAGCGGCTTTGATAAGTTGTTTCGATTTTGAACAAAAACTAAATCGAGGAGAGATGGATGATGGATGAAGAGGGAGAGAGTGGGAATGGGTGGAGGTTTGGAGGTTTGCGGGTTTGGGGGGAAGTTGTAGCGGGAGGAGTGAGTCCTATCGTATGGTGTCGTGTTTTTGGCCAGAAGAAGCAGAGACGCAACTTTTTTTTTTTTTTTTTTTTTTTTTTGGGGTCAAGGGAGCGGAGAGAAAAATGGGGCGAACTTAGTTTTCTCTGGCAACCAAGGAACGCAATATTTAACATATGACAACAGAACAGCAGAACAACGTGACAGCTACAGAAACAGCCAGTGATGGCAGCTGTGGGGGAATTAAATATGGAATTATGGAATTAGGAATAATTTATGAAATCTAATGATCGGAAAATGTACAGCAGATGGATGGAACTATTTTATTCTGATTTTATTATTATGCAACGTCATCGGGGCTGTGAGGAATTGGGGAGAAAATGAATGGGCCAGAGAGATACAGAGTGCTTCATGAAATGGAGAGCAGAGCAGAGGAGAACGGAAGAACTGAGGATGAGTATTGATGATTCATGAAATCCAATGAAGCTATCTATACCCGGCTCTCTTACCACTACACAACTGCTTACCTCCTCATGCTGCTATTACAACTTCCTACTCCTGGAAGACTCAACGAGGAAGACTCAGCACAACGGTTCCTGGGAAAGACAGCTTGACCACTAGCAGGCACTTGCACTGGGCAGTCACTGGGTGCAGAGAGATGGTCAGGTATGGCCTGTTCGCTCCGAGCTACGACCTGATAGCCTTGGACAACGCGTACACTCATAATTAAGGCCGACAAGGCAGAGGGCTAGGGCTGGGCGGTGGCAATGCAAAGGGTGGACCGGCTTACATCCATTGCACAAGGAACACGAATCGTTAGGCTAGTGGCCTGTTTAAAGTGATCTTATCCACAGCGTCACAGCTGTTCTACGACCTGATAAGTACTCTCTATTGACAGGCTACGGAATACGGAATAATGAATAATATGTGGTTGGTTTCATGCGATTCGCTCATTTTCTTTCTGCTGGCTGGGGCCTTTTAACTCTTTTATTTTATTTTATACATATTATATTTTTCGAGATCCTTTTGCGGGCGATCCAAGGATGTCTCTCCTGGGGCTAATGCGTCCTGAGGCCTGAAAGCCATGTCCTGTCAAGTTCTGCAGCGTATGCACGTCTTCAATGCTATGCCTAGACACATGGGGAATCCCTATCGATAACATCATCTAGAAGTGGACTCTTTGGATGGAAAACGCTATTCAAAAACAAGGAAATAGAGGCACGGGGACAAATTGACAGTGACAGTGACACATTTGACAATCTTGGAACCACGCTATTTACTTCTCTCTTTCAACCCATGTCTATCTTCAAGTCAAGTAACTAATCATCACAAAAAGCTTTAACCACTACTCTTAATATTCACCCCTATGAAGGTTGCCCTGATCATCAAAGATCATCAACCCTGCATTCCTGGTGGGTATTTTACATTACTCTACGTTTTTACACATGACATTTTAGGTTTTTCTTTTTTCTTTTTTCTAACGTGTTTTCTCAGCAATCATGGACACCTTCAATTGGCCATGAGATCGTGCAACAACGTACGGAAGTACAAGTACACAACAACCGCCGCTCTATACAACTGCAACAACACCTGGAGAGTCAATAGTTCATTCTCATCGGCTCTTTTCACAAGCTCCGTCAGTTTTCTCGCAACGAGACGAAAGGATGAAGTGTATATGTACTCTACATACCGGCGTGCAACTCAAAAGCCCTCCTTGACCACCATCGATCATCCCATCCACTTCATCAATAATGTCATTGTCTCAACTGCCTTTAGGTCCTTGAGAAATGAGTTTTAATTAGCCCTTCGTTGTCTCTATAGACTAGTTATAACAAAATAACTGCCCGCTTGATACCGCTTAGTGGAAGAGAGTGGTGGTGTAACTGCGGAGCCGGATTCTCAAACCTTCTTATTTGACAGACCCCGTCCTTCATTTGGTAGGGTTTTAAAATATATCAGCTTAGCATTCTAGATCCCTGACTAGACCAGCCCACCTGGATTTCCTTGTTTTCATGATTTCGTAATTTGACGATCAGGCCCGGGGCTCGTAGTGTTCCTTGATTCCGTTATTGGCAAGGGAAAAGGTGGAATGCCAATACATTCCAGAAGCTAAGGACGTAAAGGCGCAAGCGTCAGGCTCTGTCAGGGATGTTTTTATTCCAAGGAAATGAAATTACATCCATTTTCATGGATCCATCCTTGAACATGGATTAGCGGGGGGGGGGGGGGGATATGGATGGGAAATCTCTTCCATTTGCACCAAGGATTCTTCTATTTTGCTCTTCTTTCCAGTTTACTCCAACTCCGGAACTCCGTGCAGGGGAGTTACGTGATATAACAATATCAACCGCATGCAAATGGCACAAGATCCAAAAGACATCGTCAACCCCAAAAAATCGTGTGCCCCCATAGAAAAAGCCCTTATCTTGGTTTTTCCGAATATCGGATTCCGCTATCAACCAGGGGCACAACCAAAATCACCAAATTCCCAACCTGTTGCGCTGCAATATGAAATACTCAGGTTCATTCTTTTTCTTATCTACAAGTGCACCCTTGCACGGGCGTCGCACTATGGCAACTGGAGGCAACTATATTTGAAATCCTCATTTTTTTGATTTTACTTTTATTTATTTATTTATTTATTTTTTTTAATTTTTGCTCTTAGCTAGGCGTTCAGTGCTTGCCTAGAAGTTGTTTTCCCCCTTCGGCCCAAAATCAATAATCTTCAGGTCGTTTTTCCTGCCAACTCTATCGTAATAACCGCGTGTCGATCTTCTTTTGGACAGCAAGACAGCAAATCCCATCAAGCCACAGAGCAGGTGTGGTGATGGAAGTGGCGGGAAGCGAACATGAAGAAGATGTGGCGTTGACTAGCAGGTGAATTTGCAGCGGGACCCCAAGCGCCAAGCGGATAGAAATGTTCGATTGACATCAGCTAATGATTGACTGTTTTATGTTTTTCTTTTTTCGATCTCTTTGTTAATAATAGGGGATGGAGGTTCTTCTGCCAACAACAAATTTCAAAGCTGGCTGATTGGCCGGTCGGTGCCTGCTCGTCCCGGATTGACCTCCTTTTACTCTCCTTCATATATTTTATTTGCGATATGGGTAGGTAATGACGAGGGCTATGTAGTTATCTCTGTTCCTGCAACTTGTTCAACTGGTTCCACAATTTAGATATGAAAAGATCTGCAACATCAATGACAATTAACGTCCTGCATGTCAAGCTCCCGCCCTCCACCACTTACCAGACCGTTGGGTTGTGACAGTTGAAGCAAAAGAAGAGCAAGAGAGGGGGAATAAGCAATCCTCAAGCCACTCAGGTACGGGAACTCTGTCTTGAAAGACCTCATAGGTACCGGAAACCATAAATACTTTGCTTCTATTCTCGTTTCCCACCTTTGCGAATGAAAATATAGGGGGAATGAATAAAATAATGAAAGAGACGAAATACAACGCTAAGGACCGGAGAATCCGCGTCCTTTTCCAACACTCCTCATTCTGTTTTTGTCAATCCTTGTCGACGCCGTAATTTTTCCGCGGCATAATAAACTTGAATTTTGACGACAATGATGATGGCAGTTTTTTAGTGGTTCTTAAGGTAAATTGGTTTAGGGAGTCTGAGTTGAGTTGTTCGTGCTCTCAACTTTTACCAAGGTGGTCTGCCCTGGTGGGTTTGTTTCATTCACAAATCTCTCAAGCTGCCTGCATGGAATTTGCGGACGACTGATGACTCTGCTTTCTTAAACCAAGATTGTGTAAGGGAGTTGAATAATGGAAAATATATGTATCTACCCGGACTTAGTAATTAGTGTTTTTTTTTTTTTTTTTTTTTTTAAAAAAAAAAAAAAAAGGTAAACAGTTTCGAGGGACAATAGAGCAAAAAAGAGGGCATACAGTTAGTTGACTGTGGTTTTTGAAACACATCTCTTTATTATTTCCGAGGACCCTTGCCGTAACCCTAATCCCTACCCATAATCCCAATCCCAATCCTGATCTTACCCGTAACCCTGGCATTGAGGGCAGTGAGGCTGAAGAGAGATGGTGAACTGGTAATATGTGTGTTGTAGTTAGTGATGTTGCAGAGTATGTTGGTCGGTGTTTATTTTAGATTGGGATTTTAAAAACGTGGGCCAATGTTAAAACCACGTTCAACTGTAACTAACCCCAAAAAAGATTATGTCAGAATTCCCTCCAGAACATCCTCCGCTCCTTGTCCTCGAAACAAAGATGAATATAGGAAATTGCCCTTTTTTCTGTACATGATATGAGAAATGCCTGTTATTCCCCACGTAGACCAGGAGATCTGAGCTTAGAATCAATTTCTTATAGACATCTCCTGGACGCG